GGCGCTCCTGTTGATGTGTTGTAAGTTGAGATTTCCGTAGTAGTTTCCATCCAACTACAAAATTTTAATCGAAATTTCTTTTGATTTCCATCCACAGACTTACTTTTTACATCAAAAAGTTTTAAAAAGTTTTCAATTTTTGATATGCCTGTTTTGTCTACTTTTCTACTATATGTAGTTTTTATATAATTTGAAATGTCTTCAATTCTTTCTGGCCCTTTTGAAGATATACTCCATAAAACGGAACACAACTCTTCGTACTTTAATGTAATCTTCATTGTAGATTTATTAAATATGGTACTTAAAATCTGAGAAGTTTACTTATATACCAATTCTTGTCATTTCCGATACAGGTATTCCAAAGTAAAAAATTACGAATTGTCTACCTATTAACATTTAGGACTATATTACTATAACCTGTAATTCAGTCATTGATATTTCTTATTAGTGAATGAATCGAAATTATCATTACCTGTATATTTTTACCTACATGATCATAAACGAAACAGAACGAAATGATCTGTCGAAAAAATTTAGGTAAAAAATAGTTATAAATTTTTGAAAATTTAAGCATAATAGGACCTTTCAATTATAAAGATAAGCAAACAAATAGAAAATAGGTAAATATAAGATTTAAATATGTGCTGTCATACTTAATACTAAAATATGAAAAAGATGAAATTAAAGGACACAGGTTTAAATGAACATATTTTTGAATGTAATTGAGATATTGGCTTGAAATTTTTTGTAAAGGGTCGAGAATTTCCATATCTAACTAAAAAATGATATTAAGGGATAAATATGGACTAAATTGTTGTAGCTATCTGCGATCCTATTAAAATTTTGATATAAATCATAGTTTTAGAAATTAAACAAATATGTAATATATGACAAAATCTTTATTTATGAACAAAACTCAATGAAATTTTCAACGCTTGTTAAATTTGTCATTTCAAATAAGAATATGCAAAAAAAAATTGAAAAGGTCAAAGGGCATCCCGGAATTCCCAAAAATAGGAATGAAAATCCCAAAAATGGGATTTTTTACTTTTTTGCCCATAGGGTCCACATTTCTTTCAGGGCTGGGAAAATACTTTTGGAGTAAATAGAAAACATATTGAGGTTTCCAAAACTGCTTTCAGTTTTCTGATCCCAGCTTTGGGATTTTAGAACATGTCGCCCAAAGTTGAAGTTTTGATAAAAAAATAGGTCATATTCGGAAGGACGCAGTGGCAACATTTTCAAAAAATAGGACAAGTTTTTTACGCCAAAGCGTTCTGCGTAAAGATACCTTTTAGAAAACTATAAAATTGTTATATGTTCTTAATAAAAATTTTATTTTATTAATAAAAGAGTTAAGATACATTTTTGGCAAAAAAACGCCAAAAATCTAAAATTTTTTGAATTTTTAAATTAAAAAACGTATATTTTTGGATCTGTAAACAATATTGATCTGAATTTTTTTGTATATTATTGGAAATTTTGTTGTCTAACTAACAAGAAAAAATTGAGTCCATTTGGTCCAAAATTACGCCCGGTATTCAAAAAAAGGCGGACCAAGGTATGGTAAATTTTGTATCACTAAATTTTTAAATGCCTATAACTCGGATATTATAAGAGATAAGTAGTATGTCCAAGCATGTTTTTTCAAGATCTCGTCGAGCGCTTTCACAAAATATAAAAATCTTTGTATTTGGGTGAAAAACAAAAAAATGGCACGAGTTTAAAAATTTTACATGTCGTAGGTACCCTACTTTGAGCCGTCCCTGGGGCATCTGCAGGGTTCATCTTCAAAACTTAAACTCGAATACTCCTTGGCTACGCTCACGCCAAATTTTATCCCGATCGGATCAGCCGTTTAGAAATGCCAGATTTATTTCCAAAAATTTTCCATTCTGCCCCACTGTGCGTCCTGTCAACTGACCTAAGCGCCATTACAGTTTGTGAATAATTTTCAGCAGCGTAAGCAGCGGAAGACGAGACAGCCACTAATATTCAATAAATAAAGATTTATAACGTTTCCCGAACGTCTACCGTCTTTTATTGATACTTACGGAATAATCAAGTAAGTGCATCCTGCATTTATCTTCCAAAGTTATTTATTTGTATCAATAAATAACTTTAGTTTCTTGTTGTTTCAACCTCGTTAAAACAGCAACAACAACAAATTTCTCCATTTAAGGGTTGGAATTTGTTTAAATACTGTGGCATTTACAAAGATAGGGAAAAGGATTCTCTAAGAATACACTGCTCTAGTCGCCAAGAGTAACAGATTCCTTGGTAAATACTTCACATTAAATCTTGGTGATTTATCCGTCTCTAAACTGTATCAACCCTATCGCCAATCAATTTGTGAAATTTGTTGATGGAATTTTGTTGTGAAATTTGTTGATGGAATTTTGTAAAAATTGAACAGCTGTTGCATACAAAATCAATGTATAGTTCACAACAAGTTCACGATAGCAATTTTCCCTTCGAGGGGAATGAAAATTTCAAGGGAACAAAAATTTAACTTCTATTGGCGATAGGGATGAATGGCCTACTTTTCTCACAGCTTACTCTTGTTCAGATTTTTCGCCAAAAGTCGAACAAACCAAGCCATAGTCAAAATGTAACAATATTTTAGAATAAACTTTTCCACAACGTTTCATAAGCATACTTATAATGGGGTTATTTTAATGGAAATAATGAATACTTTTAAAATAATGCTTAAAAAACGCTTCGTATAGCAAGAGTATTTGTAATAATACTTGCTGTACACTTAGTTATGATAATAAGATTTACAAATGCGATTGTAAAAGACTAATGCTCGGAATAGTTTCTTAAGTGTTTTCGTATAAGATATCCCATTATTTTATTTCGTGTTTTTCTTATTATTATTCTTCTTTATTTCAGTCTTCTTGTTTAATTTGACAAAAGCAGTGTTTTTAAGTGTTTAAGAGTGTTATTTTATAAAAATTAAATAATATAAAATTTGTGTTTAAAAAAGAAAATTTAATTAATATACAGTTAATCTCAAAAATAAGTATACAGAAATACTGACAATTGGTTTTATTTAAAAAAGGATATTATTTTTTCAAAAATCAAAAAGTAACACATTTATTTATTAAAAATAATTATGATAATTATTATTCACTACTTTTTTCCGGGTTATTTTGGTTACTTGAGTTCTCATTTAAGGTGTAGTTAAATAGGTGCAAAACTTACGTCACAAAATAATATTAACAAAATTCATGAAAATTTTACATGTTTGAATGTAATAATTTTATAATAAAATATTCTGTACACTATAACATGGAAAAAATTCACTTTTTATTCCGAAAATTTGAAATTTTTGGTAATTGATCTGAATATTATTTATAGCAGCATTTTTTATATTAAATCAGGCTCAATTGGTGGTATGAATACGAATTGAAAAATTTTGAACACGGATACATCCTAATTTGTTGCTAGAACAAATAAAATGTCCGATCCATAAAACATGGTTATTGTATCGAGTTCATCAAGATATGATTGGTAGCATTATTGTATGCTTTGGAAATCGAAGTATTTGGAAAACCTATTTAAATTAAAGGAAATATATAGAATTATCCAAATTTCAAAGTTTATGTTGTAAGTCTTAAGAAATCGGAGTTAAGTTTCGGTTTTTTAAGAACGTATTGTGTTCAAAATAGCCAAATCCATGCACATAACATTAATTTCGAAATAACAACTCTTTTCAAAAGTTAAAAATTCTATTTCCAATGCATCATTTGGAGGGTTCAATGACCACCAGATCCACAATCCGGGGTCTAAAGTGGAAAAAAATCGTAGAAATGAGAAAAAACTGTTCTACTAATTAATTCCGGAGCCAATCGGCCCAAATTTCAAGATTTCGAAACTATAAGTAGATATTTTCCAAGTTATTGTGTAAAAAATATTTTATTAAAAAGTAATTATATTAATAAAAGTAAAATTTCCATAAATTTTGTTAATATCATTAAACCAAATATATACTGAAATGATCTGTATACTTACTTTTATAACGTAAATTTTGCACCTTTTTAACTTCAGCTTAAATGAGAACTCAAAGAACCAAAATATGAAGAAAAAAAGTAGTGACTAATAATTATCATAATTGTTTTTAATAAATAAATGTGTAACTTTTTTGTTTTTTGAAAAAATAATATATTTTTTTAAATAAAACCAATCGTCTGTATTTCTGTATACTTATTTTTGTGATTAACTGTATGAGTAAAAATGCCAAATAATAAAACAAAGTGCTTTATTTTACAGATGCTGCTTTTTCTATTGGATTCTTAGACTAATACGCAAAAATATATATAAAAAAATTGCAAAATTGTAAAAAGTAAAAATTATAATTGCAAAATATCAATGAAATAATTAGGTAGGTAGGCGCTTCTAAGGCGAACGGGACGACATATTATCAATAGTACAAAATCAAATGGAGGAGGGAAGGGTCAATTATGGACTGAACTAAATAAACTTGTTTATGTTGATATTTATGTTTATGCTGATATTTACCACTCAGTTAATTTATTTTTCTTAAGGGGCCTTATATAGGGGTAGGGTCAATTGCGGACCAATTCTCATAAACTTTGGTACACATATTTATGTTCATATAAAACATGTTTGTGTCGAATTTCATTGCTAGACATATATTTTTAAGCCAGTAATGAGTGGTAAAGTAATTTTTTGAAAGGAACCTAATATGAGAGGTAGATATTTTATAGTTAAATTTAGGTTCCTATAAAACTTGTTTGTGTCGAATTCTAATGGTATTCAGATATTTTTAAGCCAGTAATGAGCGTTAAAGTAATTATCTGAAGGGGACCTTATATGGTATTTAGGGTCAATTATGGACCGATTGTCAGAAAATTTGGTCGAGAGGTTTAGATTCCTCCTCTGCTCTCAATTTCTTAAAATACATACATTCATATTTCATGAAAGAACCTACGGAAATTATAAAACATACAAAAACTTCTTACTATGATACTTACATCTTTGGAATCAAAATAGAATATAACGCCTTCTATTTCCTTTTTTACTGCATCTGGAATTTCGTTAATATCTTCGCATTCAAAAAGAAAAAGTTGTGTTTTATAGTATTTAGTACAAATACTTAATTTGTGGGATTTTATTTCGTATGAATCCACACTTATAGTCATTGGTTCCAAATTAAGCTCACCATTAACGTGTAATAGTTCTAAAAACAAAAGATATATTAAATGATAATAAATAAAATACCATAGTTTAAATATTAGTAAATTCTTTAAAATTTTCATTTTAGCCTACGCAATAAATATGTATTCATGGTAAAAAATATTATAAGATACTTTCGATTTGATATTTTTGATGACAATGGGGATTTTTAGTAAAATTAGTTTACAATTATAAATAAATACATAGTTGATATAATTATAACGAAAAATACAAAAAGTAGACACTGCAAAACAAAAAAACTTCCAGAAAATTCCAATAAGCTTTATATAAAAAAATTCAATTAAATCACAATTACAGTTTTATAACATTGCACATAGGGGCACAGACATATTAAAAAGGGCGATAAATCAACCACTGGCTTTTGGTACAACTGATTGGTATCATTGAAAAAGTAATATTCTCTAGTTCTTGAATACGTAAAAATATTATAACCCACCGAACAAAATTATGTAAAAAAATTATAAAATATAAACAAGTAAGAAAGTATAGTCGGGCGTGGCCGACCATATGATACCCTACACCAGTTATGAATATTAAATGTGATTTATTTTTCATAATATCGCATTTATCTTCAATATTCCCTGGTTCCGATACATTTAAGAAATTTATGGATGAAAAACTAATTTTCTGAAAGAGGCTTTATATGGGGGCTAGGGGCAAATATGGACCAAGCCCGATAAAATTTTGTGAATATATTTATATTTACATAATATTTTATTGTGCTGAATTTCATCGGGATATTTGTGTTTATAAGTTAATTTGGGACATTCAAGCAATTTTCTGAAGGGGACTTTGTATGGGAGCTAGGGTCAAATGGGGCCCGATCTTTATGAAATTTGGCAGGGTTATCAAGACTTCTATAAAACTTAGTTATGCCGTATTTTATCGATATATCTGTATATTTAACATAATTATGAGCTCAGAAGCCCTTTTCGGGGGGTTCTGTTCTATGGGGGCTAGGTGAAATAATGGACCGATTTTAACCATTTTCAATAGGCTTCGTCCTTGGGTCAAATAAAACGTGCGTGCCAAATTTCATCCAATTATCTTTAAAATTGCGACCTGTAGCTTGCGCACAAGGTTTACATGGACAGCCAGCCAGCCAGCCAGCCAGCCAGACGGACGGACGGACGGACGGACGGACATAGCTTAATCGACTCAGAAAACGATTCTAAGCCGATTGGTATACTTTAAGGTGGGTCTAGGACGAATATTTTTATATGTTACAAACATCAGCACAAATCCAATATACCCTCCCCACTAAAGTGGTGTAGGGTATAAAAATACCAAAAATATTTTTCAAAATTTTTCCTAAATATTGGAATTATAAAAGTTAGCAAATATTAGAATAATGTTATATATGTTTAATATATGTTTAAATAAATTAAAATACACTTAAAGAAATTTTTTGGTCAATTTTGAAACAAGTAAACAGGGTACAGAATTCTTTGAATATTTGGTGATCATAGGTATTTAGACATCAACTAATCGAAATTTTTCTCAATATATGATGTATGTAGTAACATTTGCAACCTTAATTTTATGATTAAGTCGTTTCTAATCATTACCTCAAAGTTAAAGGAAAATTTTAGTAACTATGTACTATAATGCATTCATTGATATTGTAATTCGAAATTTTCATCCTTAAATGTACCGATATATTATTGTACAGATCGTTAATGTAAAGATGAACTATAATAGCGATAATTACTTAGAATTGGGATAAGAAATTAAATTAATTAATATAACTGAAGTTAGCTACTTTTAAGCATTTATTAGTTCCCAGTAATGAACATACAAACTTTGGACATATTCTATTACATTTTTATACTATATTCATATGTTATGAATGTATACCAATTGGATATATAAACAAATTTAATAGATTTCCGATACCTAACTATTCTGATTGAAACTTTAATCGAATGTTTTCTGGGTAATGCTTCTGTGTATTTAAATTTTGTATCTATTTTAGAGCTTAGACATCATAATATATTTAAAAAAACTTATTAAACAATGATTGTAGCCGAAATTTTACTTAAAGAAGTTAATTAATACTAAATAAAGAACAAAAAAGGTGGCATCTCTAAAAAAAAAACATTTTTAAAAATTCAGTATTAAATAATTTTGAAGGATCAAATATGATAAAATATGGATCATATATGAATCATATATGGACCATATATTCATATATGTTGATATCCGAAAAATATATGCGATATATGGTCATGTCATATATGGACACATATATGGAATCATATATGAAAAAATTTTCCATATATGGATAAGTATGAAAATATATGAACAAATATGGAAATATATGAAAATATATGGAGATTATGCCCAATTCCGCCAATTTTCGGATATGAACATACAGTTAATCACAAAAATAAGTATACAGAAATACTGACGATTGGTTTTATTTAAAAAAAACATATTATTTTTTCAAAAAACAAGAAAGTAACACATTTATTTATTAAAAACAATTATGATAATTACTACTTTTTTTCTTCATATTTTGGTTCTTTGAGTTCTCATTTAAGCTAAAGTTAAAAAGGTGCAAAATTTACGTCACAAAAGTAAGTATACAGATCATTTCAGTATATATTTGGTTTAATGATATTAACAAAATTTATGAAAATTTTACTTGTATTAATATAATTACTTTTTAATAAAATATTTTTTACACAATAACTTGGAAAAAATCTACTTTTAGTTCCGAATTCTTGAAATTTGGGCCGATTGGCTCCGGAATTAATTAGTAGAACAGTTTTTTCTCATTTCTACGATTTTTTTTCCACTTTAGACCCCGGATTGTGGATCTGGTGGTCATTGAACCCTCCAAATGATGCATTGGAAATAGAATTTTTAACTTTTGAAAAGAGTTGTTATTTCGAAATTAATGTTATATGTATGGATTTGGCCATTTTGAACACAGTACGTTCTTAAAAACCCGAAATTTAACTCCGATTTCTTAAGACTTACAACATAAACTTTAAAATTTGGATAATTCTATATATTTTCTTTAATTTAAACAGGTTTTCCAAATACTCCGATTTCCAAAGCATACAATAGTGCTACCAATCATATCTTGATATACTCGATACAATAAGCATGTTTTATGGATCGGACATTTTATTTGTTCTAGCAACAAATTAAGATGTATCCGTGTTCAAAATTGTTCAATTCGTATTCATACCACCAATTGAGCCTGATTTAATATAAAAATCTTACTATTTTGGACAATAATCAATTTCAGAAACGATATGTAGTGTAAGTTATTGACATGGTCACCATTTGACGATTATTGGTAGTGCAAGTATTATTAATATCGCATTTTAAGATATAAATTTTAGGAAATCGCCATTAAATATCGAATATGAACGCTATACTATGTTAAAAACGGCAATGTTCCGCAATGGATTGTAATTATTGTAAAGAAACAATTAATTTAAAAGTTAAAATATCGTCTTCAATGCATCATAATGAACAAACGAGGGATATTATTGAATACCCGATCCAAAACTCCGGGGGTTTAATGTTCCTTAATAGGCAAAAATGCTCCTATAAATAATATTCAGATCAATTACCAAAAATTTAAATTTTTCGGAACTAAAAGTTAATTTTTTCCATGTTATAGTGTACAGAATATTTTATTATAAAATAATTACATTCAAACAGGTAAAATTGTCATGAATTTTGTTAATATCATTAATCCAAATACATATTGAAATTATCTGTATACTTACTTTTGTGACGTAAATTTTGTACCTATTTAACTACACCTTAAATGAGAACTCAAGTAACCAAAATAACCCGGAAAAAAGTAGTGAATAATAATTATCATAATTGTTTTTAATAAATAAATATGTTACTTTTTTGATTTTTGAAAAAATAATATACTTTTTTAAATAAAACCAATTGTCAGTATTTCTGTATACTTATTTTTGAGATTAACTGTATATGAAAATATATGCTTCATATATGAATCCATATATATCCATACATAATCTTTTTTAGCAGGGTTATTAAATAAAACAGGTTGAAAAAATCTATGTGTATATGAATATTTTCAATCTCGAAAAAAATCAAAAAGCGCAAAAATCCGCAAAAAGTTAAAAAAGATTATAATTCTAGACATGCCCTATTTTAACGGATATATAATAGTTATGCCCATTTTTGGACATTTGTGTTACTTTTTTACCTTTAAAGTTTTGACAATTAAAAAAATAATAATTATAATTTTTCTTTCAAGTTAACTGTGCATTTTTGCACTTGTTACCATTGCTATGTCTTAAACATTTATAAATTAATTCTCAACGAAATATAATATTATAATTCGTAAAGAAAAAGTAGATTTTTTTAAACTAGAACGACATATTATTAACATCAAGTATAGGTCTTTCAGCAGGAATTATTACTCCATTTCAAATATTTTTTTTCATCAAATTTCAACTCAGCTCTAGCACAGATTAAAGCCTCTAGGAAAATTGTTGTCAACAAATCTTATGCAGAAAAGTGTATACTTTCAAATGATATATCATTTGTATTATAAAGATCAGTTTTAATTTTTGACTTATCGCCACAGGTCTCTCGTGCATTGTTAAAATGTAAATCAAGCGAAAAAATAAAAATTACAAATTGATCACGATTATTAAAATTAAAACACAAAAAATACATTTATTATATCAACACGTATGTATGTGTGTGTGTGTATGTCAAATTCCAGTATGGAATGTCCATATGGAATTCAGCTATAAAAAACGATAATAAAGCCACATATATAAGGAATAACATATCATGCCATAAAATAAGTTCAACTTGAGCAAAGTATATCAAAAAAATCCATGTTTACCATGTTTGTTCCTCATTGCACCAGAAACAAAAAAAAAAAAAAATAAAAACATAGTAATTAAAAGTCAAAACAGTTTCTCTCTATTTTTTATTTTAGCTCATAGTTTTATGAATAAAATAAGATATGGA